ACACTGGCCACTGCAGGCAGCACAGCTTTGCAAGCTGGCCACCTGCAAGTGCTCACCTTCTTTCCTTCCTTCCTTTCTTGCTGCCTTCTTTCCTTCCCTTCCCTCCCTTCCTTCGTTCCCTCCTTCCTTTCTTCCTTCCTGCATCACATAAGCAAAGCAAGGATAGCGAACAGCCACAAAAGCAAAAAGCAACAAAAGCCAACAGAAGCCTTCGAAAGTCAACACAAGTCACCAAAAGCCAACAGAAGCCAGCAAAAACCAACAGAAGCGAGCAACAGCTACCAGAAGCCACTAAAAGCCACCAGAAGCCAACAAAAGCCACCAGAAGCCACCAAAATCCCACAGAAGCCAACAAAAGCCACCAAAAGCGAGTAAAAGCCACCAGAAGCCAGCAAAAGCCGCCAGAAGCTAGCAAAAGCTACCAGAAGCCACCAGAAGCCAACAAAAGCCAGCAAAAGCCAACAGAAGCTAGCAAAAGCTACCAGAAGCCACCAAAAGCCACCAGAAGCCAACAAAATAGCCACCAGAAGCCAACAAAATAGCCACCAGAAGCCACCAAAAGCCACCAAAAGCCACCAGAAGCCACCAGAAGCCACCAAAATCCAACAGAAGCCAACTGTTGGCTTAACAAAAGCCACCAAAAGCCAGTAAAAGCCACCGGAAGCCAGCAAAAGCCAACAGAAGCTAGCAAAAGCTACCAGAAGCCACCAGAAGCCAACAGAGATACCTAATGCCTAAACGTGAAAAAAAATCCCAAAAAAAACCGAAAAAAAATCCTAGAAAAAATATGAGTTCCTCGAACCCTGGGAAGTGTTGTGTTGGAACCCTTGCTTGGAACCGTGGGTGCTGTTGTGCTGTCTGCCACCCTGGAACCTCTGAGTGCTGCCATCTTGGAAGCCTCTGTGTTCGGAAGGGGCCCTGGGCGCTGTCGTGGAAACAAAGAAGGAGGCGCTTGTTTGGTGGCTGTGCTTTCTGTCCCCGCTGAGCTGAGGCACTGGGAGGGGCGATGAAAGCCCAACAGCATGCACCTTGGTTTCAATCTCTGGGGCTTGGGGTAGTGCGGGCTTTGTCGCCGGCGCCCGGAACTTAGAACTCCTCTCAGGTGCCACCTGGACCTTGGAACTCCTCTTTGGTGTTGGGTTGAAGATGTTGCTTGGAACCTGCAAGCCTTAAACCCTGGCTGCTGTCAGGCGCTGTGGTCTGAATGCCGTCTTGGAACAGTTGAGCGGTACTCACCTGGAACCCTGATTATGGTTACAGTTCGGACCTGTGATCTGCCTTGGGCCTAGTTACTTGTTGGTTCCAGGCGCTGCCGGGAGCTTGGGGCAATGACGGGGTGAGTGGTGCAAACAATTGAATCTGTGCAAGGCAGACTGACTGACTGTGCAGATTGTTGGTTAGATGGCCTCGGTGTGTTAAGTTCAATAGCGTTAGAGGAACGCAATGAACAATGAATTGCGGGCGCCTGGCATGCCTGGCATTATAGTTCCGCGCGTCGGCTTTGCAGCGCAAAGCGTCCTTTGCGGGCAGTACAAAACATAGACCGGAGCGTGCTCCAACACGTGCGTTTATGCCGGTGCTTGTTGTGCGTGTCTCCGTTGCAAAGTGTTCTTTCTACGCGCAGCACAAGTGAGGCAGCAGGGCCACAGGCAGTTGCGCGTACCTAGCAGGACGTTTCTGCAACCACAACAGCTTGTGCACTTGTAGCGCACCTTCTGTCTCTGCTACGAAGCCGTCACTTACGGCGTTGCGGCAAGGACGCAGGCAGTTGCGAGTGCCTAGCAGGACGCTTCTGCGGACTTCCTGTCCCATATGTCTCTGTTGTGAAGCACTCTTTCTACCCAGCGCAAAGCATGTTTTATGCGCAGCAAGGCCAAAGGCAGTTGCATGTACCTAGCAGGACGTCTGTGCTGTTTCACTTGTGGTGTGCTTTCTGTCTCCGGTACGACGCCTTCTTTAGTAATACTTAGCTAGCTGGTGCTCATGAAGAAACTAAGGCACTAAGGAGCCCGGGACGGGAGTTTCCCAATCCCTGGCTAGTTCTGGTCAAGAGTACGGCAAATGTTCGTGTTTACCTAACAGCACGCTTTTGCACCATGAACAACGTTTTTCAAGTTCTGATGCGCTTTCCTTCTTCCTGCTCCCCCTCAGCTTTTGGACCCCAGTTCCTGCTCCAGTTCTTGCCCTCCAGCTCCTGCTCCCCAGTTCCCTTTGCATTTAACAATTGGATTTGGGTTTGGATTGGGAGCTTTAGCAACACATAGTTGGAATGTCTGAAAAGTCCCAGTCAATTGAGATGCTACCTGCTGTTGGGTTACAAAGCTGGATTAATCTCATTCTCTAAAAGCCTGCAACTGTCTGTCTGGTTTACAAGTTCGCTACAGTGTAACATTTGTGGCTGAAGACAGCTCTGGCAGGCATGCGTGCAGTTCTGGAGGTGTGTGAAATGGTACGTAGTATGCAAGTCCTGCTTGCATTGGGGTGGCAGGGGCAAATTGTTGGTTGTGGAGGATTTCTACATGCACAAAGGAGACAATGACAAAGAAAAGAAGAGGGTGACGCATACAGATCATGTGCAACATGTACACAATCAAATGAATAGACCCTTGGATGCGCACATTTCAATTTTCCAATCCACTTTGCCATTCCTTTCCCTTGGGGCTCTTCGGGTTCTGGGTCCAGCTCAAATACATGACTTCTCTCCAAATCTGCTTTTTCTTCTCTCATGTCTTGTTGGTTCACCGTGTCCAAAGGAGCACCTTCATCGCTCCTCTCGCTTCAACTCGTTGCCGTTCGTCGCCAAGAGTTGGACTTCCACCAAGCCATCCAAATTTGCAGGAACGAGGAAGCGAGCCCCCGTGCCACAGGGCCTGCGAAATACGGAAGAGCGCTGAAACCAAAGGAACATTAGAGAGTTTAGGGGTTCTGCACAAAAGAAGTGAGAAGAAGAAGAAGAAGAAGAAGAAGACGAAGCAGAAAAAGAAGAAAAAGAAGAAGAAGAAGAAGAAGAAGAAGCAAACAACAATAAGAGAAACAAAGGATGAGAAAAAGAAGACACGCAAATTATATAAGATTAAGGTTAAGGTTATGATTAAGAAGACTGGTGGCGAAAGCCAGCGTTGAGCCTGCCCAGCAGCTCGCACCTTTGTCCTCCCAGGTTAACCTGACAGATCTCTGCGCCCAACTCTGACGTGATCACCTGGCCAGCTCGCAACGCTGATTCTGGTCTTGCTGAAGATCCAATGGACACTTGCCACTTTTTCGTGCATCGTGCAAAGGAGTCCAAAGAGATTCTGAGTACTTTTTCATACTTTTCCACTTGAGTCTAACGTGTCACCCTTCATTTGTTGAACATCTTTCGCAAAAAGTATTGTACTTGGACATTTCGCGCCTGGACTTCAGTACCCTCAGTTCCATGGCTTGGCGTGATGGAGAGCAAAACACCTGGATCCCAGTAGCTAAAAGCGCCCAGGAATCGTGCCTGGCAAAGGAGCGCCCAGGACAAGCTGTACGAGTGGAAAGCCTTAGGCCTTCTCTTATGTATCATAGTTATATATTCAGTAATATAACATAGTATAAGCATATACTACATGTTTGAACAATTCCATCACAAATAACAAGACCTCCAGCCTGGAATGGCAAGATTCCTTTATCCCATTTTGCAATATTACTGTAAATTAAACCAAGCCATCATCCATTTTGCAATACGGAACATGTAACCAACTTTGTACCGGACTGCTCAGTTGGGAAACTCAAAAACCTTGGGTTCTCGCCTCATGCTCCTGGAAAATGGCGACAACATCCACAATGCCATTGTCACCGCAGGGTGCAACGAAACAACTGCCTCGCCTTAGCAGGGTGTTGAGTAGTGGTTGATATAGTGACAACAAACTTCCAAACAAACAAAGCTACAAAAATGATCCGCTGAGGGTCAAAGGAGCGCAGGGCCTACCACCCAGCCAAAGGCCCAAAGGCACAGGTTCTGCGAGCCATGTCATCTGGAAGCCTCCAATAGCCTGGGCTGCTGGCTCCAATTCTCCAGCATTATTGTGCAGAATATCTTGTGGATAAAGTGCATTCTATCAAAAAACTCATCACCTTCTACAGCAGGAGGATATGTGGACACCCTTATGCGCCTGCAAGCACTTGCTGACATTGTCTTAAAGCTCTACACCAAATTGCTGAGCCAGATAGAGGCTGGAATGGCAAGCATGTGTGCAAGGGCATCGTAGAACTCTCCTTGCGAGGGGCAAGACATCGGACACTCCACAATACTTGCAAAGACTTTGTTAGTTTTAAGAAGCTACTAGTAACAAGTGCATCGCTTCTAGTAACAAGTGCCTTACTAGTAGTAACAATGTTTGCCATTAGAAACAAGAAGCTACTAGTAACAAGTGCATCGCTTTTAGTGTTGCTTCGGATCTTTTCACAGCAAAGTCCTCTTCTTCTGCAGGTGGTTGTGGCTCCATTCCAAGTGACATAGTGCTGCAGCCATGGGTCCTTGATCATGGCAAAGGGACTTGAAACTCCAGTACATCAACGATCTATATAGGTCTTGCAACTTCTGCCTTTGGCTATGTGCATTGCAAACTTCTTAGGTGCTGGCTGTGAATCTTTGGTCAAAAGGGAGAAACCTAATGAGCAGGCCGAACCTGCGACTGTTGAACAAGAGCTGCATGACATTGACCAAGTTACGCCCTTTTGCAAAAAGGCACAGCAATGTAAACATGACAAGAAACTTCCAGCACCACTACCAAACAACCACCACGACACCAATACCTCCCTCCCCACCACCAAATTCAAGGCCCCGAGTACAGCAACGGCAGCAGGGCAGCAGCGACAGCCCCGACAGCTGCTCGACTTCAGGGTCCATTTTGCCAAGCACACAGACTACTTGTGATGCACTCAACAAATAGAGAAATAGAATGAAATGTTGGCAACGCTCTCTGGCAGGAAACTTGTTCACTGGTCGTTCTCAGCCTGGAAGCTTCTCTTGCCCCATGATTGATAGCACCTCGTCAAAGTCCTGGTGACAGCGCCCACTCAGAGTGAAGCTTTGTCAACCAGCTTGATCGTGACATGATATGACATCTGCAAGCTTGAGCGAATCAATATGGATCAATCCTAACTTTTGCCTGAGACACTGCAGAGTAAACACACATAATACAGTGGACCTAGCTGCTTGAGGAGTTGGACCTAGCAAGGGAACGCTTCTATTCTGGCGGCAGTTGGCAGTATTGACTTGCCCAAAATATGTGCTGAGGCCACGAGGCCTGGGTGGACGGTGCATTGCAAAGTCATCTTTGCTATCAAACATGTTGGAAGTACGTGGTGGCCAACCACTTGTTTTACAATGCTTTTCTCCGAAGCGTTCATTCAGTTTTTTCAAGTTCAAGCGGGTTTCCACCTTCTTCTCCTCGAAGCACATCTGCGCCAGGCAAGGGACAATCTGACAGAACGGTTAATTCAAATTTGCAGTCCAAGCTCCTAGTAGCGTCATTGCTCCTAGTAGCGATGCCAGGAGCCCCTAGTAGCGTTCTTTGCTCGTGCTGTTGAGCCGTGAAGACTGGCATGGATTAAAGTTGAATATCTATTCTACCACGAGATTCCAGTGTGAACAAAAGGCCTCCAAGAGGTCATGCTTGTGGCTCTGCAAGAGTCTGCGGGCAAACATTCCGACGGTGGTTTGAAAAGAACTGGCTGCCTGTCCTTGAAGAACCTCTTTTTGAATGAATCATTGGGAGACCTAGGAACGTCAAATGAAACTACGACGTGCCTCTGCAGGAAGGACTCCATGCTTGCTAGATCGCCGGATTCCAGCACACGTTGGTAGCCATGTGCATCAAGCGACCTGAGATTGGGGTCTGTTCTCACTCAAACCATCTTGGACCACACATGTCGATATCTTCGGCCTGAAAGGGTTCATCACACTTTTCTGCGGCTTGGTGGCTCATGCAAGCCAAACAGTGTGGCACTCCCTTCCTGCAGCTGTACGTGCTGAAAGTCTTCAAGCATCAATCAACATGACTTAAGGACAGCTTGAGGACGTAGATTCAAGTATATACCAGAACTCTCTTCGCAGAATTGGAACAAAATTCAAGTAGCTTTTTTTGGGTTCGCACACCTCACATCTATATGGCAGTCTTCTGCAGCTTCGAAGAGGGAATCTCATATTGAAACGAGCAGTTTCGACTCCTTCGGCTGATGCAACCCCAGAAGAGTCTGTGGGGCTTCCTGACTGCAGCACAGCGCACATAGCCCTTCAGACGTGTATTTGCCATTCATTTTAAGGTCTGAGAACATTCTGTGGGTGATGTTTCTATCCAACGGATGGACATGCTCCCACGCCACTTTCCAGAACATGTTGCTCAAAAAAGGGCCCTCAGCAAACTCAAGAAAGACTTCAGAATATCCCTCTTATCACGGATACAACACTGCAATCGGCAAGCATGCATTTGCCAAGCCAAATGGCAGCTGAATTCCTCAAGTCCTATGGACTTCTGAACTCTGTTTAAATGTGGCGCTAACTCTGTGCAAATGACCTTTCAATGGATCTTGTATCAAGCGCAATGAACGCAACAAAAACATAATGTCATGTGATTCTATCGACATATCATTCAGAACCTGCGGCCATCTGCAGCCTGGACAGGCTGAGCGGGAATGGATGCAAAGAACCTCCATGACTTCAATGCCCATCTGCACTTTATCCAGAGCTAGGAAGTTCTCTACAGCCAACACCTTGATAAGCACAGGCCAAGGCTCCAATCAGACCTTAGGGGCTCCACGGGGCTATAATCACCACGTTCTTCAAGGCAGACTGAATGAGCATCCAGTCAAACTTTGCGAACATAGATCAACATCCCGTTGGAGGAGGAGCCCCTTCTGTCACAACCGAGCTATGACTAGGTGTCAGAAACCTTGGATTCATCGCCTGAAGCATCTTACGCGAGGCCTTCTTTGGCGCCACGCAGGGAAAAAGTGGCTGCATATCCAGCAATCGATATGAAGTGACAAACACATCTGCACAAACACAGAACACATGAAAGACGGTCGTGATTGATGGTGGAGGCTTCCAAGTCTACAGCTTAAACTGGAATCCAAACAAACGCTTTCAAACAACTGCTAAAACTACTGTCGTATCTGTCGTAACATATCGCAACTATGTTTTTGTTTCGATGTTGGCCGACGGCCAGAATCGCAGCATTGCACTCGAATTCAATTTCAAATTTCGCATTCTCAGGTTGCAACCTCAGCTCAATACCACGCTGGCTCTCAAAACCATAATTGGGGCAAACTTGGGCATCAGCACAACTTTAGAATGCCTGACAGCCTTGCAACAAAAAGACCCATGCCCTCCAGAGTCCAAGACAGTGGTGATTCTAGTGGAACAGAACGCCCTCTGTACCGTATCTCCGAAGAGCAGAGAGCAGCAAAGCCGTGCCCCGCTTGGTCCACTGGTCTGCTGAGAAGTTGCCAGCCCTGGGCATTGCGTACAACTTTGACTTTGAGGATTTGCCGGTCGTTTTCCGTTTTGATTTGCAACCTGTTGGAATTCATTACATATATATAACATTATATAACTCATCATACATGATCCCATGCGGGTCTGTGTTAGAGGCTCCAAGGAGATGAACATATTGAGCAACACGCAACGACAACACTCAAAAGTCTCAACAGTTCAAATTTCAAATCACTGCTGATGCTCTGATGCTTAAGTCGCTACGGTCAGAGCGTTGCCTCAAGTCCACCCAGATCATGAAGGAAGGTCGTTCACGAGTGCCGGTCCTGACGAAGCACATCGACTTTTGATTTTTTGGACAGGACTGGGACGGCTGAGTGACTCAAGAGGAGATCTGAGCTTGCGTCCTGATTGGGTAGAGGTATAGCGGGCACTGGTAGATGCCTTCGGTGGATGCCTTGAACTTCCGGCTATGCCACACAAAGCGCTCAAACTGTTGCCATCTGATACTCCTACAAATGATAGTGCACTTGCCGAACCTGACCGTTGTCAAGCATGCTTAAGCTTTGAGAACCTGGCCTTCTTGCGAACTACCGGCTTGAAATGGACCTGGATAGCGGAATGCTCAATACTCCTTCGCTGAGAATCTTTAATACCATGAAATCCGCAGATCTTACATCGGTGATGTATAACATGAAACAAGATTGATGTATAACATACATTGGTGAATGTTATACTGTTGTACATCAAATTTGTTCCAACTTCTATATTCTATGCTGAAAACTGAGGTGAAAGACCATGGGCATTGGATTGAAGAGCGCCATGGTGTCAGCATCTGCAAGGCATCCAGCGTTCGAATCCCACTTGGCTCCTACAGCGGAAGAAATTGTCAAACGGTTCCAAAGGATTTGCAACGAATCCAAAAGCCTGGCAAAGCCACGGCAATGCGGGAAAGTCTGACACCATTCCCAATCAAACCATATAAAGCCCCTGGGCGTGACCACTGGTGACCGCTGGTATGCATCTCAGAATGTATCTGACATCTCTTCTCCTTCCAGAATCATACCTTGGCTGAAAGCATCGAAACACTTGAGAATGGAGGGAGTGATCCTTGACCGTTTGGGAAGCCTACAATTCGTTCCTTGAACATGGTATGCAGGGCTGTAGCTCTTCAGTAGCGTGACAACATGACCTTATGAGCGAGTCAATGACAATGCACTAGAACAAAAGGTCTTGCAAGGCCTGTCAGCTATCGCTGCACACCAAGTGCGGGAAGGGCGAAAGTCTCATGTCGTCTTGATCAGCAGTTGACTTGCTCTCCATTCCACAATTTCTATGCCACAATGTTTGACACGCAAACAATTTTTGTGTGTAGTGGTGCCTGCTTGGAAGCTTATCCAAAAGTGCTTGCAAAAAACAGGTTAACATCAGGCATAAACATTTCATGATACACACAACTTTTAAGACCTTTGAGCAAGCTTGAAGCAGGTGATCCTTTATTGAAGCCAGACAAGGGCTCTGTTTGCAGCCTATCCGCCTTTGATGTAGGCTCCCTCCTTTGGAAGTGAGGTGATGCTGGACTCTTCCTGGAAGGTGAGGACGTGTCAAGCAGACTGCTGTGGCACTTGCAGCAATGGACACCACATTTTCTCAGCAGCTCTACATCTTTGATCGTGCTCTCGTATTGGAGAAACAGGTGTCACCAAGTCTGTGCGAGTAATCATGCTATCTTGAAAAGAAGGCCTGGTTCAACACGACGAAGTCGAATGAGAGGGTGTCGACTGAAACCTCGCAGTTTGTTGTGAGTGCATGAACTTGGTGGAAATGTGTCGAAATGCAATCCAGTACTTAAGTTACTTCTTCTTTCCTTCCAAGTGGTTTTGCTACAAGCAAGGTGGCTTGTAATTTAGGACGAGAGCCCACAGAACCAACATTTATCATCAAACTAATCCTGCTTGTCCATGGTAGGCTCTCAAAGTGATCTGACTCTTCCAAGGCACCATGTTCTTTCGAGCAGACCTGGAGCGGGCCACATTTCAAGGATAATGCTAAGGATTGACAATAGACGATTACCTACTTTTTCTTGATTGGGATGAGATGCCTATCTTGTCTCAAGTCATCAAAGCAGGTTCCAACCCCAAGAGAGTTCTCTTTTGTTGGACAACGACGCTTGAGGGTGTCTGATCATTTGTTTGGTGTTGCCAGGCAGAAGTTTCTGTTTTGAAAGGCAAACAAAGACTTTGCACGTCCTAACTTTTGAATCCAAAGCGCTGTTGCAGCACCGCTGTGAGCAAACTCGTGGGGTAAGTCAAGCCACCTAGCCAAAGCACCTTTGGCACTCCTGGTGAAGCTCTTAAGGTTTTGATGGAGCTGCATCTTCTGAATCCACAAAACGTCTAAAGGGATTAATTTTGAATGGTTCTTTAATTGTCCCAGATTTAGTCGTGAACTCACCATTTCAAACATTGAAGTCCAACTGCAAGCCCCAGCTCCTTGTTGAACCCATTCTAGGCCAATCAAGAACATTATCAATTGACACATCAGCTCAGTCCTACGAAACCCCAGGTGTTCAGCTGCTCAATTCGATCTGCCAGATCAGGCATCCAGCTGCTCAGTGGTTTCAAGCCTCACATGATCCATCGGGAATGGTGGACATCAATCAGCGTGTGAAGGAACCCAATCCCAAAGTTCGGCAGTACCTCTGTTTCCTTAGGCTCTTCAAACTAGCACAGATTTGCCTGTTCACTGCTGTTTCGTTGCTGAGAACTCAAATCAACTTGTGGTATAGCTGCACTTTGACCCACTCGCGCCAAACCAAGCTGCTAGGGTATGCAAAAAGCCAAGATGCAGGCACCGCGCCCGCATAAAGCCTTGATTGCAAGTGCACTGCCTATGACGCCTATCTGGACTATCAGCTATATCATGCCGCTTGTGAAGACGGTTGGATGAATTCATTAAAGTCAAAGAACGAGTTGAGCACGGCTTCTTGTTCCTTGCTGATTACCACAAAGCCTGCAGGCAGGCAAACTGCAAACACAAGTTGAAGCTTCGCATGTGCCACTGGCATCTAGAATACAAAGATGAACGATCGGCTTTCAAAAGTGCAATCAAACAGAACTTGTGTGGCCTTGGATTCCTTTCTGCAAAGTCTTGACCGAAGAGCGGATGCTGGATAAGAGGACGTTGTACCTCTCAATCTCCTTCAGCTGGACATGGCGCTACGGTGCCACGGCGCAAGTGTTTAAAACGTGCCGATGTTTCCAGGTATGAATGCCTTGCCTCCAAGGATTGCATTGGCCATTGACTTACTTAATTTTGCTGAAACATGCTGAAACTTACTAGTTGAAGAACTTGCCGACGTACTGACCAGTCATCTATATAATCCAGCCACTTGTATGATCAGCCAGCTCCTGGAGCAAGCACACCTTCAAGGGTGAAGAGTCTGCCTCATTGCGATCTCGAACCTCGTCCCAATCCAAATTCTCCTTGGCCATTCAGGTTCGCAGTTGCTGATCGATTCACAATCATTTTGCAATTCTTCTGGAACCTATCACCGACTCGAGCTTTTGAAAAGCAGTGGGACCTTTTTGACAAATAGATGGCTGGTCCCTTGTGCGAGGACCATGTGGGTGGTACCCTGGAATAATTTTCTTATTATTCCAGGGTCATGCACATACATGTGGATAAATTATTCCTGATGTATCCCACACCGTGGAATAATTGATGAAATGCATACAGCTCATATGATTGAAAATGCTTAGAATTCGGGGGGGTCAGCAGGAAATGTTTGGAGCCGATCCTATAGGGCAGGAAGTGAGAGTTATGGCCTTCTAAAGCAGGAGAGGCTTGGAGCTGATCCTATAGGGCAGGAAGTGAGAGTTATGGCCTTCTAAAGCAGGAGAGGCTTGGAGCTGATCCTATCTTTCTTTCTTTCTTTCAAGTGGACACTTCGGTTGGACGGACCGGCAGGATTGAATTCGGTTGTAGGCCTTAAAGAGCGCCAAGATCAGTTCTGAGATTCACAAGGATCGTCACACCAAACACAAATTATTTCTGATGTCTAACAGGAGTTGGTGGCCCCAGAATAATTTTCTCATTACTGGTGGCCAGTGTGGGCCAAGTGT